GCAATCCTTTTAAAAATCCAAAACAAAAACAAAAAATACATACATGTATAAGCTCATGCTAAAATAAATAGTTTAATACAAGGTCCTACGATGAGAAGTGTTGTTCACGTAGGTGGCCTAAAAGTTCTAAAGTATGAATTGCAACTGGCCAAAGGTCCCGGCATTGTAAGTTTCTAAATGCAAAAAAACGAAGATGGTTGAGCAAGGACACAGGCACATGTAACCACTGAAAAAAGTCACAAGGAGGCACTGGGTACTGCTTGAGCATAGCCTTCACCAGTGCCTCCTGGTCTAAGATCAAACACTAGAGTCTGAGCATGATGGCCATGTTGTACACAATGTAGAAGTAAGCAATAAAAAACTAATAGCATGAAAATGAAACTTTTTCCCTAAGGAAAATCGTTTTATTGTTTTACTCCTCCAACATGGCTATCGCGCACAACAACAACAACAACAACAACAAGAACAACAACAAATAATCAAGCTTTATTCACAGGTGTCTCCTCATTAATAATGCTCTTCCAGTGAGCTTTTTACATAACAAAATATTTTAAGAGAAACTACACTAATGCTAAAAATACATATATGTTGTAGTTAATTTTTTATCTATCATACCCAAAAACATAAGAAAAACAAAAATTACCTGAAATAAAAAATTAAGTACAACATATATACTAAAAGAAACTATCTTAGAATTGACTACTTAAGCTCACCTCATCGTCCAGATCCAACTCATCTTCACCAATTGAAAACAGAGAAGACATTCTCCAACTTGACACTATCGACTGTAAATTCGGCTTCCATTAATTCAACCGAGATGTTATGTGCGAGGTATTCTTAAATATCTTGCTCTATTGAAATTAACGTCATTATACTGCCGTATTTCATCTTTGGACTGTCTCCAAACTGCTGCGGACGACGGCCATTTTGTTCTGTTTTGTTCTTTCGAAAACCGCGCGCACATTACGCATGACAACTAGCGAACAGTCTGCTACAACGACCACGATGATTGCAGGCTCGAAATTCCGGGGATCCATTCGGGGCCATCCCCAAGGCTCCCCAGGGTCTTTCTGGTAAACGGGGGGAGGGTGGCCTGCGAGCAAGCGTCCTTGCAGGGGGCGAAATTTTTCTCGCAAAAGGTGAGATCGACAAAATATGTTTCCGCGGTGTTTTTTGTGAGGGACCACCTAATTAATACGAACACAATCCTGACCGGCAATTCTGCACAAAACCGACACTACGGTTCAGATGTGCCCCCTTTCAAACCTCAAGGAAATCTGGAAAACATCTACAAGGAACTCTGGGAAAGCGATCCTTTGTTTAGGGAGGCAACTTCCTCAATAAGAATTGTGAAGTAGATAAAACGTTCTCATGCTGATGGGTCAGGCCTGCTGATGGGTGAAACAGATGAAAGTAGACCTTGAACTTGATCTCGGAACTCTTTGAAGAAAGAGGTGCCGAACAATTGCTATCATCATTGTTTTATATCTTTGCTTGGTGTATTCTGCGATTCATCCTACTGTTCTGTGCAGCCACGATTCATCGATCAAATTATTAAACAGGTATCAGTAGGCATAACATTGTACAAATGTGTTTTAAAATAATATCAAATCCCCCATGATACATTGTGTTTTCCCCCCACCAACTTATTTATTTTCGTTATTGTTTTTAAATGCAGTCTTGGGACGAAAAGCTTACAGGAGAGTAAACAGCTAAAAAAACACTAGTCAGTCTGTAAGCAGCAAAAAAACGTTAAGTTAATTAGTTGGCCTGGTTGTGAGTCCTGCAGATGTTAAAATCGTTTATAGGGTGGTGTTTCCAAATCAATCACTTCCCTAAGACTCCCAAGCGCTCTCCCACTTTTCCAGTACTGATCTGCAATGTCATCATATCATTCTGAAGAAAATTATTTCTTACAAATCCAGCCTTACTGATGCCCAATTTGTCTTCCATTGTTAAGCCTGGAACACAGCACACTCCTTTTACTTTTACTTTTACTTTATTAATCCGCAAAGGCGGTAACCATCTCTTCATCTTCTTTCAGTAAATAAAATTCTTGAACATTTAAAAGCACTTGATGACATCTGAATTTCTGCACACATAGACATTGTGCTGCTTATCATAACTATAACAAAACTCTCTAATCTAATTTGCTATTGGCAGCCCTGATTTATAATGGTAATAGGACTGAGTGGAGTCCAATTCAGTCTTTAATCATAAGAGTGATTAACAAAATCGGACGACCACGAAACGGGAGTCCCATCATAAGTCATAACCATTACAATTTCCAAGAAAGTAAATGCATTCTTTTTTGGTGAAAGAGCATTTAAAAACCAAACGTCCAAAATTAGGGAAAATACCACTGGCAGAGACACTGTCTAATGTTACAAATTCGTCCATTTTGGAAAATCCCAGGTTTGGTAGGGTAAGTGGTTGTTGCCATGGTTATTGTGATAACTTCTGTGATTGGTGGATTTAGCTGAATGCACTGGCTAATGTAACTGTCCGATTACAGGTGTCCAATTACAGCCTATTGTCCCATTGCAACCTTACACAATTAATTAACATAGTTAATGCACCAATCAAATTTGACAAAATTGTAATGGTTAGACAGCATTAATTGGACATGTAATAGGAAAGTACATGTCATGCGTAAGTGATTGGACAGTACGCGCCATCACACGAGCTCTGTTGAATGAGCTCAAGGTAAGGCAAGGGAACTAAAAATCGGTAATAAAACTTCCTGCCCAATTGACAATCTGTAATTATACTTGTCAGGGGATTAAACAAATTGGACTCCTGACTCCTGCTATGCAGTCGTCTGATTTTGTTTTATCGTTCAAAAGATTACTAGTCTGCTACACAGCCGTTTTTAGTGTCGTCACGTAATGCTCCTCCCCACTAACGGCTGCTGAAAACCGAACTACATTTCTTTCCTGTGATTAGCCAATTATGATTCAGCTCCCATTTTCTGGAAGGTGTTTGCGCCACGTTTGCGGTACTGTGACTCCTCCAATCACAGCTTTGCTTTTATCGGTGCCCCATGTGTGAGTGACAGAATAATCAAAACCGTCGCGTGAAAACAAGCAATTAACTACAGTAGTGTTGTTGTAGTCGAGTCCTTTTCAAAATTTAGGAGATAAGCAGCAGCAGCAAGCAAGTCGAGCAAATTGCGATGCACAACATGCACAATATGTGCTCATAAAGTTGCCAGGTATAGTTTCGGGAAATAGCTCATCGATAATTTATAAGATTGCCTTTTGAATCAGTACCTTTGAGAGTTAAGTCTTCACAGGAACACAATGAGCACATCTGGCACATTAAATTTCTTCATTACATATCAGTACATATGCACATTAAATGAAGAACCAACCGATCCTGGTGAAAGTCTTCTAGGCCTATCAAACCTTTTTTTCACTTGGAACTTTCTTGACCGCTTAAAAAAGACTTCTTTCCAAATTAACCTTTTCGTTGCTTGAAAACACAGAGCCCATCTAAATTCAGCGATGATTGATTGATTTGTCGAAAATGGAAGGAAGCGTACTCGCTTCCTAGCGCCCTGTGGCTCACATATTGTCAAATTTCTTATACATGAGTGGCTTGTTCGTTAGACCACAAACACAAAGGGAAAGGAATGTAGTTCGGTTTTCAGCAGCCGTTAGTGGGGAGGAGCGTTGTGTGACAACCCTAAAAACGGCTGTGTAGCAGACTATAAGATTACAGGCCGAATTAGACTTCACTGAGCCCTATTATGCCGGATTATAGACAGTCACACCACATTTGAAAGATCATGCAAGTAAAGAATGAGGACACTGTGACTATCAACCATTTTACAGTTGTGGGCTTTATATCCTAGCCTTCGAGTGAATGTGAGGCTAAGGTTGACCTTGTTTGGATGCAAACCTCCTTTGTTTTCTTATGGAAATTGTGCTTGAAAAATACTAGTTATTATAAGAACAACCTGATTTACACCAGAAAGCCGAATGGGTTGTATCAAAACAAGGTCAACTTCAGCCTCGTTCCCAGCTAATTGGAATTGAGAGACACAAGTGCCGGCAGTTCAAATGTGCGCTCGAACACAATGTTGCAGCAAAGAGCAAGTCACATATATGTCAGCTAACAGATTGAAGTGGAGTGAATATTGACAAAATAGTATACATTTCTATCATTCTATCTCACCATATCGTCTTTTTATTTTAGAAAGTCTTCATCTTTTTTTTATCAATTTCTAACTTTTTGGGTCTACATGTACTCCACTCCATATATGCTTAAAAAATCACCTGTTTTTATACCCTTGTCAGCAAATATTTTGTAATTTATATGGTTACGATAAAGAAAAAAGGCCTTTATACATTAAGCAGTGAATCCCATTGGCACCCTGTTACAGTCCTTCCCAGAGCAAAAATTTGGCTGCTTTAGTTTGGCAGCCACAGTGATTTTTAAATCACAAAAGTTTTTTATGTTGTCTGGTGACCTTGAAAAAAACTGATAGTTGGGCACTGATTGTGGCCATTTTTCTTCCTTGTCTCAACAGACTCAACAGACTTACATGTAGTAAAAAGAGAGACTGCTAGTAGTGTAAGTGGATATTGTGTAATTTGGGCACCCCAGCAACGCATTGGTCAACTTTATTGGCTGATACTTGGTCAACATATGGGTGGACACATTGGCCCACACTTAAGATGTCGAGTGGACTACAAGTTGACAGGTCAGTCGGCATCAGTTGGCCCAGTGTCTGTCAATATGTTGGCTGATATGTTGTGCAATAGTTGACCAACAGTTGGCTGACATGTCGACTGACATATTGGCTGATAGTGTTGGTTGGTCTTTTTACTGATAATTTGCTGACATCTCGATCAATAGACCGCCAACATTTGGCCGATACTTTACTAATATTTGGTGGATTCTTCATTTGCAGTCAGCTTTCTTAAGGCAATAGTGTAGACCGATGTTCAGCCTAGGGGTGCCCAAATTATTACACAAGATGACTTGTCTAAGTTTTACTGTAGGCAAGATTAGCTGTATGCTTATGTATGACTAAATGACCCAGAATCCTCCTGTAAATATATTATGGGATTGTTATCATTTTCAGGGAAATGAAGTGAATTTGATGCATGGGGAACATCTTTCTAAATTGCTTGGGACTATTTCAGGCTGAGCCAACTAACAAGCATAAATAAATGCTTAAAACTTCACAGACAATCTAGCTAGGTTGTAAAGGTATACCCATTTTCATGGAAATGAAGTGAATTTGATGCATGGGGAACATCTTTCTAAATTGCTTTGGACTATTTCAGGCTGAGCCAACTAACAAGCATAAATAAATGCTTAAAACTTCACAGACAATCTAGCTAGGTTGTAAAGGTATACCCAAGGTGTACTGAGGTGGAACAAGAGGTCATTTTTACAAGTAATAATTAAAGGTACTGTTCAACCTAAGTGGCCACATATATCAACATAATCACCCAATTTATATGACAATTCCAGTGGTACTGGATTCAACAACATAAATATAGTGCTTGCAGAAAGTCTCACTAAAAATACTTTTCTTTAATGACATGATGGATTCTTGCTTCCTGTGTGGTTATAATATTTTCTCAATTTGATGCAAGTTTTAGAACTGGATACTTGAGAGTGAAAGAAATTGCTAAAACTGCATGAGATCCAGAAAATAACCTCACAGGAAGTAAATAACTTGTAAGTAAAGTAAGGCATTTTTGTTGAGAATTTCTTCTAGTATTTACGGTATCTTCTTTAATTCATTACTGGAATTTCAATATAAATGACTTTCCCCATTTTGAGATCTTTTAATATTACACCACACATGTAAGACTTGCTGTGTATGAAAAATGACTTCACAAGTCATAAAAATGCAGACATCTTGGTCTTGTTATTAGTAAAGTAATTTCCTCTGTACACCATTACTTACCCCTTGAAATGTCTGAGTCCAGTTATTTTCATATTATTATTATTCTTTTTAACTTGTTTTTTGATATCAGAAATGAATAATTTTTTTGTCATGATTTGATTTAAAACACTGAACTGTGTGCAAGTCAGATATTTTGCTAACAATCGCATCTAAGCCACAAGGAGTGTATATAATGTGGGAAAATGTGATTGCCACTGAATTTTTATGATTTATGCTATAGTTGTTAATTTTCTACATAATTTCTGTAATTTCTTTAAATTATTCACTTATTTTTAAAAGTAAAAAAATCACATTAATGATTGTTATTGTAAAAAGTTATTAGTATTGGTATTCAGTGTGCAAAGAAAGTAGTGTCCGATAGACCGGGGCTAGTGGATTTTGCTATAGGGCTAGTTAATTCTGTTTTTAACTTGCCTGACAGGCAAGTGATGTTTTTTGAGGAATTCGAATAACAGAATGAAATCAATTCTGCTAGTCAAAAAGTCTTTAGGGATAGTTGAAATGACGTTTGGGCTAGTAAATGCTAGCTTCAGCTTGCCCGAGTGGCAAGCTGTAAAAGATTTTCTTTGCACCCTAGGTATCACTATTATTTGTATTTTGATCATTATTATCATCATTATTATGCAAAGGGTGCAGTGTGCGTGGCCCAGGATCCACTTCTAAAATCTGGAGTAATCTCCAGATAACTAGATATGTAGAATCAACTCACTTATTCATAGCCCTTTTTTAACAGCTGTTTCAAGAGTGTCTTCCTCACTTTTGACTTTATCACACATATTCTTCTTTTCTTTTGTTTTCCTTTTTACTTATTACCTGTAATATCTGATTTGTATTAGCATTAATTTAGCACACCATGACTCGTGTTTTTGGCTAACTGTGTGCCTAGAAATTGTACAGGCAACATTATGATAATAAATGTCTTGTTTTGATATAAATTCCCTCAATTACATACATTGCAGGTTGTGAAGAACAAAAGGAAGCTGGTTCAGGTACAGGAGTGGTATAAAAAGGGAAAATCAATGTGGTAAGTTGTATCTGCAAGTAAAGTACTTAACTCAACAAGCAACAGTCAAGGTCATTTCAAATGAAGAAATGAAAAGGCTTAATCATGGTTTGTAAGGAAATGCAGAAAATAGAGGCAGGGGCCTTATTTGATTTTTTTTCCCAGAGAAATAGTTTTATATTTCAGAAATATTCTTTGAACTGAGGGGTGCAATAATAGTGATTAAACCCTGAAGAAATTCTTAGAAGTAACACATTTTACAAAGTCATTTTAATAGTTTATAGTTATTTCAACAATTCTTGAAAAACGTGTCACAGAACTGACCGAAGTAGTTATGTCATAGATGACAAAATCAATATGATCTTGTTTTAGCAAACTATCATCTTGAGTGCTTTAAAGGTACATGTATCAGTTTATTTGTGTAAATAAAAATAAAATCATGTTTCAAACAACCAACCAATCAATTAATCATTCAATCAATCAGGAAATCAATTATGTATTTTTCTTTTCCTTTACTTAAAAAGATAGATTAGAATGGCAGCTGCAGCACCGTCTCCCCTGGCCAGCTCTGAAGAGAAGACAAATGGAGCCAAGCTAAGCAGGCTTCTTATCGATGGTGGAACAACAGTTCTAAGAAATGTTTTCAATCATCACTATCCTCCAGCTATTTTAGCTGCTGGTCTCAATGCCAATTATTCCACTCTCCACAACCTCTTCCGGCGAGGAGTTCTACATGGTCCTCAGTGGAATAAACTGTTCCCGCCTGGGGGAGCCATGCCAGACTCCAATACGTTTGACATCACTCTTTTATTCCTCCTTTTGACCAAAATTTGTGGATTGTCCCCTCCTCTCACAGGATGGCACACTAAACCACCCGCTAGTGACACCTCTCTTGAGGCGAATCTTGCTCGTGTCAAGCATTTTCGTAACTTGTTGTATGGTCATGTGACCAGTACTGGTGTTGATACTCATTCCTTCTTCGCTTTTTGGCAGGAAATCAGCCCTGTTCTTGTGGCTCTTGGGTTGCAGCAATCAGAAATTGACAGACTGAAGGCAGAGCGAGGTGGAGAGGAAGATTATCTTAAAGCGTTACGTGATTGGGCTGACAGTGAAGAGGACATCAAAACACATTTAAAGGACGTGTGTCAAACTCAGAAAGAAATAAAACAGACTCTTCTGGAGACCCATGAAACTTGCCAGGAAAGCAAAACCAAGCTGGAAGGTGTACATCAAGTTGTTACAGAAATTCGTCTGTCCCAACTCAACTCAAACCGCTCGGACGAAATCTTGAAGAAGCTTGCCAAGGTAGACACGCAAAGTAGCATAGAGTATTACTCAGAAAGATATTTAGAGGGAACCCGTGCGTCGGTTTTTGCCAGAGTAACTAATTGGCTGGATGACAGAAGCTCACCCAACCGTGTGCTAGTAATCAGTGGAAATGCAGGAATGGGAAAATCAGTGATTGCTGGAGAGATGTGCAAACGAATACAAGAAAGTGAAAGGTTGTCAGGGAGCCATTTTTGTCAACACGACAAGATACGCCACAGGAATCCCAAGGTGATGCTGCAGTCATTGGCTTCCCACATGTCATGTTATCTGCCAGAATACAGGAAAGCTCTTGTGGAACAACTTTCTAGAAATCTTGGCTTGGAAATGAATGACATGGAAGTGGGAGATCTGTTCGAATTGCTTTTCGAAGAACCGCTGCGCAAAGTACGTGACCCTGGTGTCACTTCTCTCATTGTAATCGACGCCTTAGATGAAAGTGAATACCAAGGGCGAAATGAGTTACTAGAAGTGATAAGCAACTACTTTAACAAGCTTCCACTTTGGATCCGGTTCCTGGTAACAACGCGGCCAGAAATGAACATTTGGGAAAGACTAAGCTGTTTATCACCTCTTGTGCTAGAATCCAACGACAAGGAAAACTTACTGGATATTCGCATTTTGATGGAGCATCAGCTAAGCCATCTGTTGCCACCCAAAAATCTGGAAGTGATCTTGGAAAAGCTAGTTGGAATGTCAGGAGGTGTCATACTATGCGCTCGCTTTTTGATAGGTTTCGTGAAGGAGAGCGTGCAAACTCTCACATTGGAATACCTCGAGAGCGCTATACCGTCAGGTATTTCNTGACCCTGGTGTCACTTCTCTCATTGTAATCGACGCCTTAGATGAAAGTGAATACCAAGGGCGAAATGAGTTACTAGAAGTGATAAGCAACTACTTTAACAAGCTTCCACTTTGGATCCGGTTCCTGGTAACAACGCGGCCAGAAATGAACATTTGGGAAAGACTAAGCTGTTTATCACCTCTTGTGCTAGAATCCAACGACAAGGAAAACTTACTGGATATTCGCATTTTGATGGAGCATCAGCTAAGCCATCTGTTGCCACCCAAAAATCTGGAAGTGATCTTGGAAAAGCTAGTTGGAATGTCAGGAGGTGTCATACTATGCGCTCGCTTTTTGATAGGTTTCGTGAAGGAGAGCGTGCAAACTCTCACATTGGAATACCTCGAGAGCGCTATACCGTCAGGTATTTCATCTGTTTATCAGTCCTATTTCAAGCGTCTGGAGACTGTTCTAAGTAAAGAACTGAAGATAACCGAAGATCAGTTTTTTAGTTTCCTAAGTGCCATAGCAGCCGCAAAAGAACCACTGCCTATCGAATTTGTGTCCAAACTTTTATTCCCTGGCATATTACTCTTATCTGCTCAGCGAAAGACGAACAAGGCAGTTTCTTGTATATCGTCACTTTTACCTGTTCAAGATGGCTGCGTGCACTTTTTTCACAAGTCGGTGAAGGACTGGCTCGTTGACAAGTCATCCTACGGAAGTCACAGTTTCAGTGTGAACAAGGACGAAGGCCATCGCATCCTTGCTGAACTTTGCATGGGAGAGTTCGATGAAGTAAAAAGAAAAGGTGTTGATGACTCGGAGCCGTTCAGTGACACAGCTAGGTACGCGCTTCAGCATGGTGTTAAACATATGGTTAGAAATGGCCGATGATGAGAGGACAAAATCATGCAGTCTTGAGAATCTGGTGAATATGTATGTCCTGGACGTTGAGCTTGTGTATGCAAAGCTGCGCGTAAACAGTGCAATACCCTCTGAAGATATCGTTTGTGTCATGGAGCAAAATGAATTGAAGAAATTGAAACCCCTCGAGACGTTATTATCTCTGTTAAGAAAGCATAGCAGATCACTTAAAAACCTTCCAAAGTGCATTTTTCAAACACTATTAAATGAAGGCGGACCAGAGCTCTCTTTTGAGGCTTCGAAACTTTTGGTGACTAAGTATTCTGACATATCATACATGGAATACTTAAACAAGAACGATCTCCACGGAGCTTGTTTATCCACATTTTCTTGTTCATCTCAAGTGGCTTGTTTTGATGTTTCACATCGCTTAGGACTCATGGTTTGTGAATGTCTTGACGGCATGATTCATCTGTGGTCACTNGACATATCATACATGGAATACTTAAACAAGAACGATCTCCACGGAGCTTGTTTATCCACATTTTCTTGTTCATCTCAAGTGGCTTGTTTTGATGTTTCACATCGCTTAGGACTCATGGTTTGTGAATGTCTTGACGGCATGATTCATCTGTGGTCACTCCATACTGGCAACTTAATATGGAAGTGTCCTGTAGTATTAGTAAAAAACTACGGCTACTCTTCCGAGGCTTTAAGATGGTGGCCATCTTTGCAGTCACCATATTTTTCTTGCTCAAATTTGTCTGACTACAGTGCAGTATCCTTGTCTTGTTTTCGTTCTGTTGTTTTTCATCCTACTAAGGATGTCATCTTACCAGGAGTACTTTGCTATGCATACAATTTTGAAGGGGACCTGAATCCTCTTTTTCCTGAAAGCAAGTGTATTTTCACTGCTTGTTCTATTTCTGGCAATACAATTATCACTGACTGTCCTCCAGATGCGAAATGCCTCACCTTATGGAGTTTAGAGAATGGATGGGAGATGAGTCGTGTCGTCAGAAACGAAGATATTTTGTCTTTTGCGAGGTCTCAAGATGGAAGGCTACTTGCAATTTCCCATTCAACGGGCTTAGTTTGTTTGCTAGATGTAATGAATGGTTTTCAAATGCTAGCCGAAACGTTCACCTCGTACGTTTGTGGTATCATGAAGTTTGCACCCGACTGTCGATCACTTTTCTGTTGGCATTTTCCACCAAGTACCGTTTTACATCACCTTTTCTGTGTAAAAGTCAATGTAGGAAACGATGGCAACTTTTCCCTTGATGTTTCTCGTGACACTGTTTCTTATAGGCCTTGGGAACATGAGTCTTGTAGCGAAAGTGGTTTTACATTGGGAGACTCTCTAGATTGTGTGGTTGGAAGTGCGTCTGATGGCATACGCGTCATTAACTATTCATTTGTGTTTATGCTGAATAAAGATTTCGTTTTAAGAAGTAATCCTCGAAGCCATTTTGTTAACATGTTGTCCGTAGATGAGCTCTCTAGAGGCGGTGATGCTGGTAAAATTGTTGAGAACCTGGTATTTTCTCCTGATGGCGAGACCCTTTATATTATGGACAGCGAAAGTGATGGCACGCGGATTTCAGCTTGGGACGTTTCAAGTGGGGTATTTAAAGCAGATACAAAGATTCTTAGTAACATTTCTAGAGGATGTTGTGTCGTACCTGTTGACGTTGGTATCCTGTTAACAACAAGAAATGGCAGTGTGGAGTTGTGGAATTGTTATTTTTCTGAGTGCTTAAGACGCTGGGATGACGTCAAGGGAATGCACGTGACAAAACTGATTCCAGTTTCAGATAAGCACGTGGTATGTACAGGACATAGATGCGATGGCGTTTGTATTATTCTGGATATCACAAATGGAGAAAAAGAAGAAATTAAAGCAAAAAGGAATCGTTACGGTTTTTGGGGCTCAGTTCTTGCATGTAGCAGCAAACGTCAGCTTATAACCATAGATGACCGTCTCTTAAGCTCAGGTTATTCCGTCTCTTGGGAGAAAAAGTGGTCTCGCAGTAATACTCAAGCAGAATTCGACCTTCCAGCGCTGTTTTCTCCTTCGGAAGAGTTTCTCGTTATTTCCGAAGAAGTTGCAGGTCACCAGCAAGGCGTCTTCGTTCGTAGTCTTTTCGATCATCCACAAGGCGTCTACGTCCTTGATGCATCGTCAGGAAACACGCTTCGAGAACTATGTGTAGTAGAACGAGTCTATGATTGCAAATTTTTAAGCGACGAGGAATGTGTTTTGCATACTTACGACCGGTTAAATGGTTTCGGTCTTCTACTGTACAACATCAGGTCAGGAAATCTGTTAAGTGTAATTGACATTGACCTGTATAATCAAGTGTATTGTTTGGCAAGTCACCCTTGGAAATGTCTCATCGCTATTGGCCTCAAGCATTCCAGACACAAGTTCAAAGTTATCCAGGTGAAGCTGCGAAGCCAAAATAAGGACGAAAGGAAGAGCAACAGGTCAGTCCTAAACTAATGATAGTGGTATTCGTAAAAACAACTGATTTTTTTGTGGCATGTAAAGGACTCCTACAAAGGACGTAGGTGGAGAATTTTGAAAAGCAGTGTTGCAAACGCACACGGCCTTTTCCGTTTTATGACGTAAATAAAATCTCGGACCCCCCCCCCCCCCCCCCCGCCACCCCCGACCCCCCCCCGCCATATAAATTAAAAACCCCCTTTTTTGCTCCCCGGCCACACAGCGCCCCCGCCGCTGGGCGCTTTCCTCCCCCCCCCCCAACCCACAACAACCCCCAAAGCCACACCGCTTGCGCCGTGCGCCATGGGCAGCGGGGGAGTGGTGAGTTGTGTATTTTTTTTTTCAACAAAAGACGGGGTAATCGGTCGTTGTGTTAGTCGGGGTTCAGAGGGTGTTTTTTCCAATTTTTTTGGGGAGTTAAAAGACCCCAAAAAAGGGCGTGGGGGGGAAATTTTTAAAAGAGGGTTTTAAAACCCCACCGCCCTTTTCCGTTTTTTAAGGGAAAAAAAACTCGCGCCCCCCCCCCCCCCCCTGGGGTATTACCAAGGCCTCATGGGCTATTGAATCAGAGCCCGCTATTCGGTAGCCTGCGAACAGCAGACGCATTTCCGGTCGTCGCTTCTCTCCCTCCGAAAAATAGCAACCGACCGCGAAATGCGTCTGCTGTTCGCAGGCTAGCTATTCGGGCGAGAGGACTGAATAATTGTTTTAGTAGGATCCAACTAGTTGGTCAAAAATATCGAGACGAAACAACTTTAGCTAGTTAAAGCTAGACTGTAATCTTTTTTGCGGCCAAAAAGCCGGGGCTTTTCGCTACTAGTGGGCTATAACATAGCCTAGTAGTAGCTCAACCAATCAGAACGCAGCATTGATAATAGACCACTAGTTGGGTTTTACTAAATAGAAACTAACCCTGTTCCTTAGGCTATGTTAATACTACACCGGATAGCTACTTGTGACTTCACGAGAAAGAAAAAGCTATCTCAACTGGGATTGTATGAACACCCATCCGATATGTGCCTCTTTACTTTAGAGATCGGCGCGTCGTGGCTTCGCTCTGTTATAGGAGAAATCGCGCCGAAATCACTGTTGTTATGTTTGAACAGAAGCCCTATCCGATATGGTTATCCGTGTTGGTGCAAGAGATATCCGGTATGGTGTGAATATCATGATAGTCTTTAGTCACAGAAGAATGTCTGTCAGTTAACAAAATCTGTCTGGTGCATTTTTATTCTTAAATGTACAATGATGTCTATAAACGGATTACCATTTTGTACACATTATGCTGGTGAGCACACACCTGATTCATTCATCAAAACTGGAATCGAAGAACCGTAAGATCTAATGGTTAATCTTTTTGTCCTCGGTTTCCTTTAACACAATGTCTTGTTCTTCAGGCCGTCATTTCTACCATCACATAAAATAAACATGTTACTGCCGATGTTCCGGAGATTTCTTGAAACCAATGGCAATATTATGACCAGGGGCTCACCCCCTGAAAGTATAACCGACTCCTTTGGGTGAAATCTTAGTCAACCACTCCCACTCTACTCAATGACTATTCTCTAAATTAATCCATCTAATCTGTAGGTTCCCTTTCACTCCCAAGTTCGCTCCAGATGATAATTTTAGTAGCAAGAAACGCTACTCTTTCCACCCGCATCACATCCCTCTTTCTTCTTTGCCATTTATACGACGTATCGCCACCTTTTTGTTTTTCAACATACAGTCGAACCTCCATACAACGGCCACCTTGAGGACAGAAGAAAGTGGCCGTCGTAAAGAGGTTTTCGCAAGAATTAATGTGTGGATTTTTAGTCCGCCGGCACGAAAAAAAGTGGCCGTTGTAGAGAGGTGACCGTTAGCGGAGGTTGGACTGTATTAGTAACTGGGTTTCCCGAAATTGTTATCTTATCGTTTAACTGAATCATTGGTGGCAAAGTGTTCATCAAGAAAGTCAGTTTTACAGCTTGCCATTCGGGCAAGCTGTAGCTTACATGCACTAGCCCAAGGGTTTGTTGCTTGTGATCCTAATTATAATTGACGGCAGCGAAAAATGCAATTGTGAAGGCGGCTTTTAAACTTCAGAGTTCGCGTGTTTTTGAAAAGCGCATTAAGAACAGAATTCAATACTAGCCCGATAGCAAAATTCACCAGCCGCTGGCCATCGAACACTAGTTTCTTGCCCGCTGGGTAATGACATCCGTTCTCTCGTTTGCTTACTTTTTAGGAGCAAGATCACCTTCAGAAATGAAAAGTAGACTCCAGCTGTTCCTACGGATCCCCTGAATCAATCGATTACCTTGCAGCACAATACAATAACTACTTTGTTTGATGGTCACCTACCCTACGTAAACATTTGATATTCAAATATTTTATAACAATTTTAGTTAGGTATTTGCATTTAAACGGATTAGAAGTAGATAAAAAATGAACGCGGATGAAAGGGATTTTATGGAAAAACGTAAAACGTTTAAATACAGTGTTCCAAAGAGTAGGGAGACGTAACCTGCATGGAGAAGTCTCATACTGTATTTGCTTTGCTGATAGAGAAAATTAGTTTCGCACGACTGGCAGTATGACCAGTGGTAGTAGACACAGGCAGTCTAACGGACGTAACCGTATAGTGAGACACGCGCGACGAGTGGCTATAATAATCGAATTTGCAAATTATTTCAGTCAATTCAAGTCATGTCATAGGCAGGGTAGCCCTATCAGCCACTGGTTGTTATCAAAAGGGGCCCTGCGTAAATTATTCCTATATGATAAAAATTTAATTATAAATTACTTAAAAATTACGTACAAGGACTTTAAAATGCGAGCAAAAAGGAAATTACAGATCTTCATAACAATCACAAGTTGTTGAAGATTAACACGAATGAGTGAGCTACCGTAAGTTACCTTGGGATATTGATAAGTCTAAGAATGTTCTTAAAAATGGAAAGTGATGTAGCTTCTTTTATTGATGTGGCACCTGAAAATCTTTTTTTTTTTCCTAGCGTTAACTTAGAGTTCGGTAGATGAATGTCCAATTTCTAGTAAATTATAGTGCTACCTATTATTTTTTCAAGCGATCAACAGTGTACCGTTTCGAAGTTGAATTGACGTTTCTTGACCAGAGGAAACATGTTTTGACAGACTGTTATTTCCTTGATCTTAAGATGATCGTTATCCCAACCCCCTGCTTGTGAAACGCGTGAAATCAATAATGTACCTTTCACTGCCTTCAAAGAGAAACAAAATTTTAGTTTTAAAGCCTTAGTGAAAAACAGCCGCAGATGTAAAATAGCGTCAATTATTGCGTAATCAAAGCTCGTTTACGCCAATGGGTTGCCTGTGCTGTACTCTGGTTCACAGTGTACAAGGAGCAAACATTTAAAGTTCACATGGCACAAAATTGTTAGTTTTCTTTCTTTTTAAAGTTGACTATGTGTAAAAGACATTTTTTTTATAATTAGTTACTTCATGGCCTTCTGAGAAGGCATTTTTATCCAAAACGTCACTAGGGAAACTAGTAAAGAACTAGTTAATTTAGATTTTTTCCTTAAGGGTTTTTGACTTATTCTTTCGCTTTTTAGTTTTTAAAATTCATTCAGTGGGATGCGGGAGGGTATCGCTTTGAGGATTCCATATTTATTACTATTTTTCGTTTTTATACTTTTACATGTATGATCGTTTTAAATTATTTTTTCCTGGATTGTATTGTATTGTTATTAACTTAGTGTTTTATTGTCATACGTTTCATACATGAGCCTCTGGCTCGGATGATCGGGGCACCCCATCCCACGTATTTACATAAATGAATTGATTGATTGGCTCATTGATTGATTGATTAAAATAACCAGAAAGGAAGAGCCTGGAAACTTAATCCTAGAACCACGACGGGCGACAATGATATTTAACTTATTAAATAAAGGTGGCTGGGTGGGGGTTTTGAGGGTCAATACCTCCCAAGTTTGAGCATAAACTACGTCGCCATTAACAAAGACATGGAAAAATTACCCCCACAGCTGTTTTAAATAAAGATGAAAAATTGTCATGATCAGAGTTGCAATAACATCGGAGTTGTCATAGCAACGAAATGACGCCATTTCCTATTTTACTTGCAGTCGTGTTTCTCGGCACTGGAACTTTTCCTCCAAAATCGTTCACGGGAGCTTTTTCCTCCAATAGCCTCGATGTTGGTGAAATTTAATTGAATGCGGAGCGTTATTGAGATATTTTGGGATGAAGTTTTTATATGGATGAAAATAAATTAAAATAGATAAAATGATACATATTTTGAACTGCGGATAAAGGTACAAAAGTTGTTGTAGATATGAAGTTATTTTAGTTAGAATTACGGTAAAAACTGGACAATCTTGATGCGTCGGTGGTTATAAGTCTCTTTTTTTCTTGCAAACAAGAGAAAGTGATGTTATTTTACGCTCTTCGGTAACGTGGACGCTTGTTTCTATTGTAAGAGTGTTACGCCATGAAAACACTTAATTAGTACGCGGGAAGACGCTTTTACCTATTCCAAATTAGTACGAGGGAAGACACTGTTTAATAATATTAAGTTTATCTATACCAACTTAAGGAGTAAAATGATAAAGTACCATTGTTTTTAACACTGAGTGTCCTGGATATAAGGTGACCTTACGTCAGTCGAGGCTACCGGTGGAAAAGTAAGGTGCGGGTATTCGTGTCATGGTGGGAATTCTTGCAGTGATTTTAGCCGCTTATTCAGCCGAAAAGAAAACCTAAAAATAACACTTAATCAGACAGGAATGACCCGGATTCAATGTCCTCTATGGCGAACGGACACCTTATTCTTTCAACTTGCCCCTGGCACTAACCAGACACCCCGTACCTCTATCACCGTTTCGAAGAAGCCCGATATTTGAGTGTAACAATATTGGAATGACCGTACCATAAAGGAGGCTGACTTTGTCAAGAAGGGAATGAGTCTTAGACCCTCTTAGAGCTGAACAAAAGAAAAAGCTAACAGCTAAGAAAGGAGGACATCGTGCCGGCACTATTCCAACTTCTCTACTGCAGTGTAATCTCGAAAACGAAGGGCTAAGGAAGTTGCAAAATAAGTTTGCTACAACGTGGCCTCGTTAAGTCCCATAAATATTACGACTGGGGCAAAAAACATCGTTCGTTATACCAAGAGCCCCGTTACATGAAGGTTCGCTATATCCAGGCTCCACTATGCTCGACTGATTTTGCCTTGATCGACCACTACGTCCATTCTTAGTCAAAGTTTTAGTTTTTTAAGTTCCAAAGTTGAAAGCTGGAGGAGGAATCAGTTTTAGATCCTAGCTAACTGTTCACCTACTCCTCCCCTAACCCCAGATTTGCTATTAATAAGAAGTTAGTGCTAACGTTGGGTTGGAGGAGAGGGGTAGGTGGGTAGTTTTCCGGCATCTTAGTCTAATCCGTGGAACACATCGGTTTTTTTAGTACTTGGCAAAGTCAGATATAAAAACCTGGAAATTACAGCCTCGTCATACTAGCAACTAACCAACAACATTGTCCTTATTCAAATGATAATATAAAACAACTCAGAAGCGAGAGTGATAATATTGAGAGATAAAATAAAAAATATCATGGGTGACGAATTACTCCTTAATTTTGGCGCAAAATTTCAGCGTTAATTTATAATTTCACATTTGAAATTAGAAAGTTGTCATTGCAACCTTGCGTACGTCTCAGTGGCAAGATGGCAACGAAATTTTAACACTTTATGAATGAAGATGTTGGTGAATTAAAAGACGCTTTAGGAAACCTAAACACCCGAAAGAACACATCAAGAAGGATTCTAACAGGTGTTTTGTCGAAAAATTCTGAACTTAAGCCAAACTTAAGCTCCAAACTTTTTCGAGGGTGGAGTTCTCGATCGATAAATAAAACAAGGATAAACATGTCAAAAATCTACGATTATGAACGTAATGTATCGGTCAATTCCAGCTGCGCCCAGCAGCGCAAAATTTGCTAATACCCCACCCCCGGGCAAATGCCAAATGCCCCCCCCGGGGGGGGGGG